CTCTATTTTTTTCTTTTCTTTTTTTGGTACCAGAGATCAAACTCGGTCCTTAAGTTTGAGGCAGGTGGCAGCACCACTGAGCTAAATCCCTGGCCCTCCAACCTTTTCTTTAAGGAGTCAGTGGGCCAATGCACCATGGGAAATATCCTGCAGATTCCAGAGACCTCATCATTAGGCTGTATCCTTAAAAATTTGGAACATTTCACCCTGAAGGAGTCATAGTTGGCAATAAGATGGAAATTTCTAAGGAAAAAAAAAAAATGAAGGCACCAATTTTGCTGTAATCTGGTAGTACACTTGAGTCTCATGGAAAATGCTCCAAGGACTCAATGGGCCTACATCCTTCTGTGGGGGATTTCCTGTGAAGGACCCCAGACCTAGTATTTTCTCTCTCTCATATGCCCCACACAGGTAGCTAGTTGGAGCTCTGAGGGCTCCACCCTTGTCTTTAACAATTTATCTTCTATTGCAATACTGTCTGGGTCCAGAATGAACTAAGAAATAGTGAGACAGGTGCAGAATGGCAGTCTAACTGACAATACTATTTTTCAGTTAGATTTTTTTGAAAAAGGCAAGGAAACACCTAAAACAATGCTCAACCTTTTATGGCTCTTTACCTCTGGAAAAAAACCAAGGACTTGATATCTTTGATGATCCTGTCTTCAGATGCCCATCTCTCATGGGGATATAGGCCTCTCCCACCAGTTTCCATCAGAGTTTAGCACTCCATAAAGATCAAGTATTTTCAAATATGACTCAACTGCTAGACATAGTCTTTTTCTGTGTTCGACAATTGGGACCCAGAGGAAGATGAAATGAGAAGAGCCACAATTATAGCTGTCGCAACTGGCAATGCTTTGAACACACCCAAGTCATCTAAGAGAAAACCCATGATAATTAAGAAAAGAGTTCCTGTTTTATTTATTTATTTTTTAAGTTCCTGTTTTATTTTATTTATTTATTTATTTGGTTTTTTGAGACAGCGTCTCACTATGTAGTTGAGACTGATCTGGAACTCACTATGTAGCCCAGGTTGGTCTCGAACTCATAGTGATCCTCCTGCCTCAGCCTCTTGAGTGTTGGGATTACAGGCGTGAGCCACCATGCCGGGTTTAAGAGTTCCTGTTTTAAATGCAAGAAAACTGGGCACACGACGAATGTACCAAGCTACTTCCCAGGCCCTGCTCCAAGTGTCAAGTGGTTGATGTGCCTGACTCATGGCACTGAAGGATTGACTGTCCCCAGTCCCAGAGAGGGGTAGGCCATCCAAAACCCTTCTGCTCTGATGAAGAGGACTGAAAGGGCCCAAGGCAACCTGAAATGCCCCTACTGACAAACATCTTTCATCTCCTATGAGAAACCCTGGATGACCCTGGATTCATGGGTAAGTGATTTCATTTCCTTTGGTTTCTATTTTAACTTTCTTCTCTGGAAAATCCTTTTCTAGACCTATAGCCACAATTGGGCTTGAAGGGAGCCATAGTCAGAGCTTCTGTACTTCTGCTTTGACAGGTCAATTCAAAGGTCAAATGTTCATCCATCAGTTTTAATTGTCCCACCATGACCCACTTTCTTACTAGGAATGGATTTACTAGCAAAACTGGGACAACTCTACAATTCTGGTAAAGGCCAAAGCAGGTTACCATAAAGACCTGCACTATTCTTAGCTGGGTGTAGTGTCACTCTCCTGTAATTCTAGCACTTGGAAGGCTTAGGCAGGAGAATTGCTAAGTTCAATGAGTTCAAGGCCAGCTTGAACTACAAAGCAAGACCCTGTCACTTTTCCTCTCCCAATGACTTGCCCTATTCTTAATCTACTTCTCTGGTGCCTATAGACTCAGAGTTAGCTACTCTTGTGAACATATGGTTTCCCAGACCTATGTGGCAGTGAGGACATCAGTGACCTGCCCTTCTAAGACTCTCAGGAGGTGTGGTTCACTAATGGAAGTAGCTTTGTCCATGGACACTGAAAGGCAGGTTACGCAGCTGTTAGTATGCAATAGGTCAGTGGGGCCAAACCCCTACCCACAGGGATCTCTGCTCAAAAAGCAGGGCTCATATCCCTTCCTCCGGCATTGGTACTAGGAAAAGGCAAAAAGGTAATGAGTTACACAGACTCCAAATAGGTTCTACACACCCATGCACCAATCTGGAAAAAAGGGAGCTTGCTAACTAATAAAGTAAAACACAAACAGGTAATTATAAAACTCTTAGTTAAAACTCTAGTCTATCTTCTCAAGCAGGTTGCTGTCATTCATTGCAAGTGACTCCAAAGAGACCCTAACACCTCCTTGAGAAATCAAAAGACTGGTAAAGAGGCAAGAAGTGTAGACTTATAGTCCTTAAAGACACAAGCTTTATTCCCAGTTCCTGAAAAACCATTAAACTGGTCCTTCCTCAAGGAATATGGTGGAAAGTTATAAAAACCCTACATAGGAAATGGTCACTCGAATTTTCACGTGACCAGGACTAGCAGTAACCACCTAACAGTTCTGCAAATCTTGCCCAGGCTTTGAATGTTGGCAAGATCAGACCATATATAGAGGAGAGGGGCATACTCTGGGGAGGTCTGGCAATTACAAAGCCAGCTCCACTTGAACTGTCTGAACAAAAAGACCTCCTAAAACAACAAAGCCATTCCTATGAACCTCTGGAAGTCTTGAGGTTCCTCTTCAAAAGGAAAGACTCCATTACTGCTTTGGGTGCAGATAAATAAATAGGCTCTTGCATTGAGGTTCCTGTTTTTAATTAGATTCCATGATGAGAGTAATCTTGCAAAGGCTATGGCTCGCAGGGTCTAGATAATTTATCTAACATCCTTCTTTGCTATACTTTCTTCTCTACAGAAAGTGTGGAAATCTAATCTATTTCTTCTCATATTTGGTCTCTACATCTCCAACTTAATAGTAAAGCAACTTTCCTGACAAATTCACCAAGCTTTCTCTCGTCAAACAGGCAGCTCAATAGTCCTTTGTGTATAGACACTAACTTTTTCTCATTGTCTTCCAACAGGTTTTTATTTCTTTCATACAGCTAGGGGGACACAGTACCCTAAGATAGTTGGAGAGCACTTAATTCCCAGTAGGTAGGGCCTACAGCTCCTTTCAGCAAGAAGTAATCTGACTGAGACCTCCGCTCCCTCAGCAGCCCATTACGGGGATATGAGTTTCTCAGGGGAAAATGAGGCTGGTGATGCGGGCATGGAAGTCTGGTTGGGGAAGTAGGTATGGCCTGTTCATTGCAAAATCCCAGAACACATGCTCGAAACAGTTCTCAAAGCCCTGCATGTGGACCTCTCACAACAACTTCAGCAGTTTTGGATGGGACAGCCTAGACCTGACATCAGCCTGGAGTGTGAGATACAAAAAGAACAGTCACCATTGAGATTTCTGCTACTATATTCTCTCTTACACAGTAACACACTCTCCCACTATACAGTGTACTTTTTTCCTACTTTTATCTGGTCCCAAATAACTACACAGAGCATCTCCCCCACCCCCATATAGGGATCGAACTGAGGTCCTTGCATTTGCAAGGCAGGCGATGGAAGCTCTGAACTAAATCCCTGCCCCCCACATTTTTTCATTTTTTTTCCTACCTTTAATAAACATAAAAGTTCACTGCCTTTTGTGTTTGCTTTGTCCAGTTCTCTGTTCAAGGCAAGAAGCCTTGTTCTTTGTTCAAAGTACCCCTAGAAGGAGAGCCAGCACTCCAAAACCCAGTAATGGGAGGATTGCAAGTTTGATCTCAGCCCGGGCAACTTAGTGACTAAAAGAGGCCCTGTCTCAAAACAAAAAAATAAATAAAAGGCTGGGGATGTGGTCCAGTATGAAGACCCTGGGGTTCAGCCTTCATCCCCATGGGGGAAGAAAAGGAAAAATAAGAAGGGGGTTACAAGGGATGCAACTCAGTGAGAAGGCCCTATGTGCAAAAAAAAAAAAACAACAAACCAAACAAACAAAAAACCAGCACTCCCCCCACAAAACATAAAAACTCAACCTGAAAAGCAAAAAATACTGCATGGTCCAAACAATAATATCTCGTCTGTGAGCTGCAGTGTGAGACTTCTAGTTTACAGCATTAAATCCACACTTGCCTGCTATGTTTTTTGGTCTCTATCTTCCCCATGGTAATAATAGTGTTCACATTTAGGCTGTGTTTCGCACTCTGCAGTGCAGTGTATATTCATGTCCTATTTGATCCTTTCAGTTTTTTGTTTTTTGTTTTTTTGTGCTGGGGACTGAATTTAGGACCTTGCACTTTTAAGACAGGCAGCAGCACCACTGAGCTAAATCCCTGGCCCCAAATTGTTGTTGTTGTTGTTGTTTTAAGGGGTCTTGGCTATATAATCCAGGCGGGCCTTGAACTCACTATCTAGTCCAGGTTGACTTGCAACTCATGACAATCCTCCTGCCTCAGCCCCCCAAATGCTTGGCTAGTAGGTGTGTGCCACCACATCCAGCTGATCCTTTCCACTGTGATAAGCAGTTAGGAGATGAGGAAAAGGACAGACAGCCTAGCCTAAGCAAGGAGTGAGGCCCAGGTCTCTTGACTCTGGTCAGCATCTATCCTTGAGGATTTCACTCCATCCTTTTCCCTCCCTATGTGTGCTTAAGTTACATCATTATCTAGAAACACAAAGTCTTTCTACTAATCCATTTTTCATTATCCTTCAAGACCTGTTCCGATTCTGTCTACATAAAATTTTCCTCTAAATTTCCAAGTTTTTACTCTCTTTTCTGAACTTCAATTATTGTTATAGGTAATAACTATAGTGTTTATAAACAGTCTTAAATCATCAAATTATTTACATCACTCCACATCATCTTATACCCATAATGAAATTCTAATCTCTTGGATGATGGGGCATATCATTCTTCTTTCCTACTCTACACATAATTCCCAGCATTGTGTGGAACACAAAAAGGACTGTTTAATTAATGTTGGCTATTTTAGGCAGTCTTTTGAGGAAGAGAGTTATGATGATACTATTAACTTACCAGCCTGATGTTGTCTTCCGGGCGAAGTAATATGAACATTGCTTGGAGATGCTGCTGAAGATCACCTAGTGAAATTTATAAAGCAAAGGATAATTATTCTACATTCTAAATGAACACAGAGGATTCCTTCTACTAATGATTTGTAAAGGAAAGTTCTGGTTCTAAAGAAATTAAATAATCAGATACAGAAATTAAATAATATAATTATTCCTTTTTAAATGGAAAGAGAATGATAGGCTGAATCTTTAAATATTCACTTTTAGTCTATACATTAAAATCTGGATTTCTCCTATGGCAAGTACACTTGAGATCAATCTCAGTTTTCTACAGTGGTGAATGAGATGGTGGTAGGAGATCTGCTGGTGAGATCTGGCAGGTAGAGGCACCACTGGCTATGCTTTCAGACTACTGAAGGTATCAATAAAGGCATTTTGAAATGGGGAATATAATTAGTGCTTGAAGAATTATCCCTAACTTTAAAAGATAATCTTTTCTTATTCTTATTTCTATAATTATAATTTTCCCTTGAACTTAACCTAAAAAAATCATTCTCCCTAGAATGATTCTAACTCCCTAAAATAGTTCTCCCTAGAATAAAATCAATAGTTTAAAATAATTCCATATTAGTGTCTAATATTAAATGGAGAATGTATATCAAATCTAGCATATTAGGGATAGTTATTCTTCTAAACATATTAGGTGATTTGAAATGGCCATTATTTTAATTCTTACATATTCTTATACCATTTATAAAAATAAGGTGAAATTTCATTACACAGAAAATATGCTGTGATAAATGATGACAAGCTAAGAACTAAAAACTTTATTCTTGTCCACCCAGGCCCAGATCTTTTAAGTGTGTAAGGTAACTGACACTGCCACATAATCACAGGTACCAGAATAACTTGCTCTCGCATCGGTCTTAGATTTACATATATTTCTCTTATGTTAACAACATGGCTTTTGATTATAACATGCTATGTGCAAGAAGTGGAGAGAAGTAGGAAGAAAAAAAAAGATTGACAAACAGGTGTATTTGTCTAAATGGTCAGCAAGTATGAAAGCCTTCCCCTCAACCTCCTCTTAAAAAATAGTTTTCTTGCCCTATTCCTATTCCTGCCATTTTGCTGTAGACTTCTGACTAATTCCATTATTAAAAAATCTTTCAAATTTTAAAATGAGAAAGGAAAGTCATTATGTTTGGTCAGATTCATTCTACTATATTTCAAACCCACAGACACAATCTAAATCTCATATATAAGATGCAAGGTGGACATCTGGGTATAAACCCTAAGAAATGGAAATATATGTCTACATAAAAACCTGTACAAAAATTTCATACAGCATTATTCAAATAGCTAAAAGCTGGAAACAACTCAAACGTTCATCACCCGATGAATGGGAAATAAAATGTAATGTATCCATGCAATACAGTATTACTTGGTCATGAAAAGGAGTAAAGTAAGGTTATGTGCCATAACATGGGTAATCCTTAAAAACATTATGCTAAGTGAAAGAAGTCTATTTTAAAAGTCCTTTTATATGATTACATTTATATAGAATACCCAGAAGTCAAATAGAAAGATTGAAAGTAGGTGAATAGTTTTTAGGGGATAGGGCATGGGGTGGAAAGGGGAGGCTATAGGGAATGATTGCTAATGGGTACGGGGTTTCTTTTTGAGGGGATGAAAATATTCTAAAATTAGATCATGATGATAGTTGTATGGTTCCGAACATACTAAAAACCACTGAATGTATACTTTATTTTAAAATTTTTTTATTTTGGGTACTGGGGATTGAACTTGGGACCTTGTGCTTGCAAGGCAGGCGGTGGCACCACTGAGCTAAATTCCTGGCCCTGAATGTATACTTTAAATGGGTAAATTGGTAAATTGTCTCTTAAACTGCTAAAAAATAAAAGAACAAGTGTGAAGAGACAGTATTAGATATAGATAAGGATAAAACACTAGAGTTACATTTATAATTGAGTCAAACAGTTGAAGCTTTGTTTTTGGTAGAGGGGATCGAACTCGGGCCTTGAGATTGTGAGGCAGGTAGTGGAACCACTGAGCCAAACCCCTAGCCCTGTTGAAACTTTTTAAAAAGTAAATTAAAGGGCCAGGGATTTAGCTCAGTGGTTCCACCTCCTGCCTCCCAAGTGCAAGGTCCTGAGTTCGATCCCCAGCACAAAAA